TCTCTGTCAGACTTATGCAAAGATACCGAAGCATCTTATACGTGACAATGCAAATCTGTTGATTCTGTTTAAGCAGGATGGAACCAACCTGAAACGCGTGTACAACGATCATGTCAATACCGACATGCTATACGAAGATTTCTGCGATTTGTGTCGTAAATGTTGGCAGCAAATGTATGGATTTCTCGTAATTGATAAGGACAGTGCGCTTGCTAACGGACGATACAGAAAAGGATTTAATGACTTTGCGGTACCGTGAAGCGATCAGTTGTCATCGATACGTTGACTGTGCAACATGGACAGCAACAAGGATCATGAGAAGATAGCCTTGGAGATTGCGAAAACGAGCGATTCAATTCGTAAAAAGTATCGCGCTTTGAAGACTGGTAAAATGGAGGAGGAGATCGCGTTGGAGAGACACTTTAAACCTATTACCGAACCGTTGAAACAAATTGTTGAAAACACTGTTGAATCGTCCAAGGATCCTATCAACATTGAAACATTCTTTTCGGAGAAAGACGAAGAACCGAAACCGAAGCGAAAACGACGGAACGCTTCGTACGATAGTCCTATACAGGCTTCCACACCTGTGAAATCAGCGTTGAGTAGATCGATAACTGTACCATCCACTTTGAACGAAATGTCTGAAATAACAGGATCGCGCGAGTTATCGTATGACCACGCTCCATCCGTTGAAGAAGTATTCGAGATTGCCAATGAACCTCTCGTAACATCCATCCGACATCTGCTTCAAACATCCGAGGGGCAAGAGAAACTGCATGCAAACTATGGTCCGTTGGGACAGAAATATTTGAAAGCGGTCTTGAGCGGTAAGAAAGCTGTCAACATAGACGTCGTATATGGAGTCTACTTTAGCGACGAGGGAACGATGCTCGGTGACAAACATATCACCTTAAGCAAAAACGACGACATAATTATAGATGGAAAAAGATACGATGGAACACCGGGACTGTACGAATTGATTTTTATGAAATTTCCCAACGAAAGTATATGCACTGATGATGACATACAGACTTACAAGAACATTCTGTTGACAACAAACGCTTATCGACGTGGTCATAACGCTGGTAATCAAGTATTGGGTAACAAGGGACACAAGTACAAGAACATCATCACACCATTGGTGTTGGGTAAAAAGGTTGGGACCGGTACAAAGAAAAAACTCGATTTGCCGTGCGCCATGTCATTAACTGACAACAGGATTGATTATGTACACTGGGACGATCCCAACGAACTTGTAGATGGTCTTCGATTGCTCGAAGCCTCGCGTCAAGCAGGTCACAACAGCCACGATAATGAGACAACGAAAAGTAACTGATACATTACTAAATGTGCCAGTTCAAAGTAAACATACATTATGTTATTTTCTATGTTATGTACCACGAAAAGTAAATGAAAACTACAAAAATTGAACCTATCAAAATTAAAACGATTACCTAATCACAAAATAAAAAACCCAATGAATATCATCCTTTAAAAATTGACCCCAAAAATTTGTACCATTCTAAATTAAAATGATTATCTAATAATGTAACCTAATAATTTAAACCTTTAATACTTTAAATGATATTATCTAATATAATATATTACCACGAAAAGTAACTGATATATTACTAAATCTGCCAGTTCAAAGTGAACGTACATATAACGAATATTTTCTATGTTGAATATGTACCACGAAAAGGAACTGATAGATTATTCAAGGTGAAAATTCAAATTGAACATACATACATATAAGTAAAACAGATTAGAATTTGTATATTACAGTTTTCTAGAAAATAACTGCAATATGTTATTCTTAGTGCACAAAATATAAAAGTTGGTTATTGAGATTTAATTTGAAATTTATACTAGACCGTACAATAAAAAATAATTGCTTGTAATTTCAGAGTATCAATTTGTTAATGACTCAAAAAAGAACATGGCGGCCTGCTCTCAAAAAACTTCCGATGGATGAAACAAATAGTTGAAGTAAAAGTTATGAAAATAGTTTAGATTAAAAGCAGCCTATCAAGTATAACTATCATAGTTATCATGTATGTTGTTTGTCAGTTGGTTCACAAAGTGCTACAAAATGTAACAGTGTTTCGATAATGATTAATTTAAATATTCGCTTTAACCATTGATTGGCAGAGAGAGAATTAAAAATTAAAGAAGAAAAATTCTACATTTCTACATAATTCTGTGTATTCACTTCGTTATAGAGCTTTTAAAGATACGGTTCTAATGCAATACTTTTTGTATTTCATGTGTTATTATACCTACTCTGTAATAGTTTTGACATTACTTTTGACATCGAGAAACTCATCAAATTTTGAGAGCAGGCCGCCATGTTCTTTTTTGAGTCATTAACAAAT